AAAAATTGAAGGAAAACTGAACAATATATTTGGTGAGGGATAGAACCAGGACAACTCTTGGAGTCAAAATAATAGTTCATGGACAGCCACTACTTCTGTCCTTTCAGAGAATTTTTAGAGAGGGAGCTTATGGCTATTCCCCTACCCCCCATCTCTTTGGATACTGACTCTGGAATTACTCAGCTCCAACTGCTTCCCTTCCATAATAGTCGTATTTTAGGTGATTGGATCTGATTGACTTTGCTTAGGTCAAATGTCACCAGGACAGTTTGAGATGGGGGAGGTGCAGAACCCACCTTAAAATGTGGTGCTCTTTCTTAACAAAAGGTAAAAAGGATACTGGGCACAAATATCCTGTGTCTACTATAACTTGGTAGTGTTTCCCTAATTACTAAATTAACCATTTTGTTATTCCAGATATCAGCAAACATTTACTGTAATGGGCTAGATAAGTATTTTAGGTTTTATAGGCCATACAGCCTATGTTGCAACTTAAGTCTGCTTCTATAGTATGAAAATAGTTATAAATGAATGAGCATGGCTATGTTGCAATAAAACTTAATTATTTACAAAAAAGGCCACAAGGCACATTTGACCTACAGTTTGCTGTCTCCTTATTTATTTCATTTCTGCTAACACCTGGCTTTCTATTATAGCTTCCTAAATGGGATCTACTAGGTGTGTATGTTTTGGTATGCTGTTTCTGGAAAATGTCACTGCTTAAAGAAGACTTGTTTCTGCTTTCTATTCCATTCCATTGGTCTTGTCTAGTTCTATGCTAATGCTTGGGATCCTTAATGACTAGAGATTTAGAACAGGTCCTGATATTTTGTAGGACAAGTCAACCCACCTTGTTATTTATAAGAATTTATTTATTTTTTGGTCTTTGCACTTCCGTATAAATTTTAGAGTTAATGTGTCAAATTCTACAATTGCACTGAATCTGTACATCAAGTTGTAGAGATTTACATCTAGGCTATCAAGATATATCTATTTTTTTATAAATATAAAATGTCTCCATTTTGAAGGGTTTTTTAATGCTTACAATGTTGTGATTTTCTTCATAAAGCTCATTCATTTTGTTAATCTTAGATGTTTCATATTTTTATGTTATTTTAATTGCTGTCTTTTTAAAGATATTTTTAAACTATTGTTAGAGAAGTGTAATAAATTTTTGTGTATTGAATTTTGCATCCGGAAACCTACCTACATTGTCATAATGATTAGCTTTTTATTTCCTACTTGCAAAGTCAAAGTATGTGTGAATAATAATAGCCTAAATTTTCTTGCTTTCCAATTTGTAATGCTATTTTTCTTTTTTGTCTTGCTGCACTGGAATGATACTGACCTCTAGAATGATACTGAATAAACATGATGAGAGTGGGTATTTTTCATTTGTTCCTGATTTTAAAGGGAATGTCTACTTGTTTCTGTGGTCAATCAGCATGCCTGTGCCTGCCTCTTTTTCTCTCTCTCAATATCATTTATTAGGTTAAAGTATTTTTCTTCTTTTCATAATTTGCTAAATATTTTTTTCATGCTCCATAGAATTCTTTCAGTTTCTGCCTACTGCCCAATTCTTGAAGCCACTTCCACATTTTTAGTTATATGTTACAATAGCATCCCACTTCCAGGTAACAAAATCTTTGTTACTTTTGTATTTGCTGCTCAATTGATCACTTTATTTGTTGCTTTACAGTAAAGTGCTTACAGTCTTGTTTTAAGTTATTGCAGTCTATATTCAAGTAATATGAAATCACTTAAGAACCGGGGCACCTGAGTGGCTCAGTCAGTTAAGTGTCTGACTCTTGATTTTGGCTTCCATCATGATCTCAGGGTTGTGAAATCCAGCTCCTCCTTGGACTCTGTTCTCAGCATAGAGTCTGCTTGAGATCTCTCTCTCTTTCCCCCTCTCCCTCTGCCCCTACTCATGCTCTCTATCTCTGTCTAAAATAAATAAATAAAACCTAAAAAAATGAAATCACTTAAGAACCTTTAGATAATATACTTTTATTTGTCCTTTTCCAGCCTTTGTGCTATTATTTTCAAACATTTTACAACCTATAATATAAACTGCACAACACATTGCTATTTAGCTGTAAACTATTACCTTTTAAAGAGATTTAAATAATAAGAAAAGTAGTCATATTTTATATTTATTTACTCATTTAATTATTATTTCTGTTGGTCTTTAATTGGTATATTTTCTTTTTTCTGTCTAGTATCATTTTTCTTATGCTTGAAGGATTCTTCATAATTTTTTTTGTTCAGGTCAGCAGCTGATGTATTTTTCAGCTCTTTGATTTCTGACAAAAAATTTTTTCTTTTGCCTTCAGTTTGGAAAGATATTTTCTCTGAATAAAGAATTCTAGGTTTGTTTCTTTTCTTCTAGTATTTAAAGGTATTTTTCCTTTGTCTCTGAAAAGAAGTCTGCTGTCCATTTTATCCTTGTATATAATCTACTTTCCTCCTCTGTCTGCTTTTAAGATTTTTGTCACTGCTTTTAATAATTTTGTTATGATATGTCTTGGAGGTAGTTTTCCTTATGTTATTGTGGGTTTGTGGCTATGAAGTTCTTGTCAAATTTGAAAATAAAATTTGGCCATTGTTCAGAAGACATGAACAGACATTTTTCCAAAGAAGACATCCAAATGGCCAACAGACACATGAAAAAGTGCTCAACATCGCTCGGCATCAGGGAAATCCAAATCAAAACCTCAATGAGATACCACCTCACACCAGTCAGAATGGCTAAAATTAAGTCAGGAAATGACAGATGTTGGTGGGGATGTGGAGAAAGGGAACCCTCCTACACTGTTGGTGGGAATGCAAGCTGGTGCAATCACTCTGGAAAACAGTATGGAGTTTCCTCAAAAAGTTGAAAATAGAGTTACCATATGATCCAGCAATTGCACTACTGGATATTTACCCCAAAGATACAAATGTAGGGATCCAAAGGGGTACGTGCACCCCAATGTTTATAGCAGCAATGTCCACAATAGCCAAACTGTGGAAAGAGCCAAGATGTCCATCGACAGATGAATCATCAGATAAAGAAGATGTCGTGTGTATATATACACACAATGGAATATTGTGCAGCCATCAAAAGGAATGAGATCTTGCCATTTTCAACGATGTGGATGGAACTGGAGAGTGTTATGCTGAGCAAAATAAGTCAATCAGAGAAAGACATTTATCATATGACCTCATTGATATGAGGAATTCTTAATCTCAGGAAACAAACTAGAGTTTGCTGGCATGGGGGTGGGTGGGAGGGATGGGGTGGCTGGGTGATGGACATTGGGGAGCTATGTGTGTGAGGGTGTGTGCTATGGTGAGCACTGTGAATTGTGTAAAACTGATGAATCACAGACCTGTACCTCTGAAACAAATAATGCAATATATGTTAAAAAAAAAAAAAGAAAAAGAAGAAGAAGATAGCAGGAGGGGAAGGAGGAAGGGGGGGGAAATTGGAGGGGTAGATGAACCATGAGAGATGATGGACTCTGAAAAACAAATTGAGGGTTCTAGAAGGGGGAGGTGGAGGGATGGGTTAGCCTGGTGATGGGTATTAAAGAGGGCACGTTCTGCACGGAGCACTGGGTGTTATACGCATAATGAATCATGGAACACTACATCAAAAACTAATGATGTAATGTATGATGATTAACATAACAATAAAAAATTTTTAAAAGTTACTCCAAAAAAAAAATTTGGCCATTGTTTCTTCAAACATATATTTTCTTTCCGTACCTCTTCTCTCCATCATGTACTGCATTTATAAGCATATTAGTCACTTGAAGTTCTCTCAAAATGCACAGATAATCTTTTGATCATTTTTTTTGAGCACTATTTTTTAGTCTTTTTCCTTTTCATTTTTAAAGTATTTTTTGATTGTCAATGTATATTAGATTTTTCCATATAGGGAATATTTCCCAAAACTCATATTTAAACTAGAAAGTTATTTGGGTACTTAACAATTCTCATTAAAAATTATACTTATTTTTCGTATTTTATGAGGTATTATTACACTTTTTGTTTAACTTGTGAGAACTTTGCCACTAGTGAATTTGTGTCTATTGGGAGTTTTGGTATAAATCAGGGAATAAACACCTAATGTGTGCCTTAATATGTCTCTATTATTAAGGCCATCTAAAAATTTCAATAATCTAATTGTTAATTTTTTCTCAATTTCTTATATAAAATAATCTGGTACTACACAGTAGTTCAAGAATACTTTAAAGTATGTGGTTAGTTCTCCTGTATTTGCTTTGAAATGCAAATTTGTTTGAACACAATTTAAACCAAATATGAATTTTACATGTTTATGTACAATTTCATCTGCAAAAAGTACGAGGTGAAAGCAGAAAATTTACTCTATACAGTATCTCTGTTCACCATGTTTTTAGTATACCACACGAGTCCACATCTGTTACAACTTTTCATCCAATTTTAGATAACCCTTCTTCCAAAACCACAATAACAAGTTGCAACTATTCAGTGCTCATTTCCACAAACAAGTTTCAAGTCTTCCTCAAGATAAAGAGCTAGCTATATTTCTCATACTATGTATTTCTTAAATCATTTAACTGTGTAAAACAGAACTGTTTTTATTAGGTTTCTAGTTTTTAAAAAATGTATCATTGACAGTGTTTTTTGCATGCTGGGCATCTTACCTCATTTCTCTCATATATCCTGAAGGTTTTAGTGCATGATTTTTCATAGTGAGATGATTTTCAGGAAGGCATATGTTATATTATAGAAGAATTGATTGTAATTTGCCAGGGGAACTTAATTTTTTTATATATACAGTAAATTGCCATAAGAAACATTCTGACTGTATCCTTAATTTTGTTTTGCTTCTGTTTAGATAATTTTCCTTAAAACATAGCATAGTGATTCTCAAAGTAAAATTGAAATCTTAGTAATGTTTATTATCTTTTATTTCCTTCTAATTTATTACCTCATTAACTATTTCTGGCTTATATAAAATTACACAGAAAACAAAGTCAATGTATGATAGGACAAAGAAAACTATAAAAACTGAGAAGAAAAAAGACAAAGGAAAACCTGAGGATTCAGAAGAGTAAGACATAAAGCTACATGTTAATATTTTTTCCTTGTTAATTTATATTTTCATTTTATACAATTTGAGGTCATATAAGCATAACTTATTAACAGTTTCTAAAAAATATAACACTATGTAATACATAGTTTTATAAGCAGACCAGGATATGTTGGTGGGAGAGGACTGAGAAGGGAAGAAGAAAGAGCTAAAGGGGGGTTAGAGGAGAATGAAACACAAGATATTAAGGACTAAGTAAACAGAATTAAATCTGAAAATCATTTTAGGAACAAAAGAATTGACATTGTTTCCTTAATGGTTTGGCTAATGATTTGTGGTTTGCACACATTAACTCTTTAGTCTGGGCTGTTCTTTTATTTTCTTTTTTTCCTTTACTTCTTGATTATACTTATTTTATAAAATCAATTATCTGTTTTTTATGTATGTGGATTATTGTAAAGTGGCTTTATTAAGTGAATATTTTCTTTAGTAATATGAACTATTTCTTTGCATTTTGAATTTGCTTTAGTCAAATCCTAATATAAAATGATTTTTAAAAGAAACTGAATTCAATCTTTATAGAGTTTTACAAATTCTGAAAAGAAATTCGATGGACAAACAGCCTTGACCATTGTCTCAGAAAAGATGACCACTCTCTTTCCTTTTTTCTTTTGCTTATTTGTTTTGTTTCTTAAATTCCACATATGGTATTTGTCTTTCTCTAACTTATTTCGCTTAGCATAATATTCTCTAGCTCCATCCACATCGTTGCATATGGCAAGATTTCATTCTTTTTAATGTCTGAGTAATATTCCAGTGTGTGTTCCAGTGTGTGTGTGTGTGTGTGTGTGTGTGTGTGGAATAACATTTCTCAAGCTGATTTCTCGTTGGTATGATTAAAATATGGAAGTAAGATAAGGCAAGGATTTTCAAAGTATTGATCATTTTTTCCTCTCTGGTCATCTTAAGTTTTTATTTAAATTCCAGTTATTTGATATATAGTGCAATATTAGTTTCAGGTGTACAATACAGTGATTAAACACTTCCATACAACACCCGCTGCTCATCACAAGTGCTCTTGTGTATCTATATACACACATCACATCTTCTTTATCCATTCATCAGTCAATGGACACTTGGGCTGTTTCCATAATTTGGCCTTTGTAGATAATGCTGCTATAAACATCGGGGTGCATATATCTTGTTGAACTAGTATTTTTGTATTCTTTGGGTCAATATCTAGTAGTGCAATTGCTGAATCATAGGATAGTTCTATTTTTAACTTTTTGAGGAACCTCCATATTTTTTTCCAGAGTGGCTGCCCCAGTTTGCATTCCCACCAATAGTGTAAGAGTGTTCCCCTTTCTCCATATCCTTGCCAACACCTACTGTTTCTTGTGTTGTTGGCAAACTAAGAAACAGACTCTTAACTATAGAAAACAAACTGATGGTTACCAGAGGGGAAGTGGGTAAGGGGGTGGGCTAAATAGGTGATGGGGATTAAGGAGTACACTGTGATGAGCACTGGGTGTTGTATGAAGTGTTGAATCATTGCATTGTACACCTGAAACTAATATTACACTGTATATTAACTAACTGGAATTTAAATGAAAACTTAAGATAACCGGAGAGGAAAAAATGATCAATGTACTTTGAAAATCCTTGCCTTATCTCACTTCCATATTTTAATCATACCAATGAGAAATTAGCTTGGGAAATATTATTCAATTATTTATCACTTATATGGATTATAATTCTTAAAAATATGAATTTATTTTGAGAAATTTTATTTAAAAATGGTTTAAGTACTACTCAAGAAAGCAGTCATGCAATTTAAAATATCATGATATATTTAAAAACCTTTTTAATAACAGGAAGAAGTCTCTAGTCAAAGACCTTAAAATAAAAGGAGATTTGCTTCAAGTCCAGGTAAGAACACATACTCTCCCTATGCATCTAAGTTTAATTAGTATATTCTCTGATAATTATATGTGTAGACAACATTAGTATGCATGTGAACATAGGGATGTATGTGTATGTATATGTGTGTGTATTTGTATGTGTGTATTAAAGTTCTTTCTAAGATATTTCTTCCTTGTTGGTTGACTTTTCTCAGTAAGTTTCAGAAATTAAAATGGTGAATCCAACCATGTTTATTGTCAAGGTTATGAAAATTACCATGGTTTACACAACTACAGGTAATATCATGGAGGAAATAAGATCATGTTGGGAGTTAAAACAGGGTCTTACTAAGTTCTGTGACACTGGACAAGACCCTTTAACCTACTTGAGCTTTATATTTTTGGTCAGTAAAATGGGTAAAACAATATCTTCTCTATCTCAAAAAGGTGGTATAAGAGTTATAAAAATCAAATAAGAAAAGCCCTTCAGTAATTGTGAACTATAGAACCCACTCTTTTTTATGTGATCCAATGAAAGGTAAGTAACCTTTTATTTCATCTTGACTTTGGAATACTTTTTTTTTTTTTTGGTCCAAGTTAAACTTTTTTAAATAACTGCCAGAGCATCATACCACTCATTTCAGTGAGTGGCTGGAGTTAAGTGTCCCACAAGCATGCACCTGAATGCTTTAAGAATCAGGTAACATAAATTTGGGAAGAAAATGAGAGTACCACTTGAGATACTGAATATAAAATATTCAGCTTTATGGTCTTAATTTTCTATTTCTGCATAACAAGTTACCATAAAGTTTTCAGTTATTAAAACAACTTATATATCTCATGGTTTGAGTGGGTTAGGAGGCTGAGCAGGCTTAGCTATGTCCTAGCTTGGTCCTATGCTCACTAAAGGCAATTAAGGTGTTAGGTAGGCTCTATTCCATTCTATTAGTTAGGGTACTCTTCTAAACTCAAGTGGATGTGTCAAACTTCAGTTCCTTCCTAGGACTGAGGCACTTGGCCGGACCATTTCCACAGGCAGTTTACGTCACAGCAGCTTGCTTCTTCCTCAAGGCCAGCCCAAGATTTCTCTTTTGGGTAAGACAGAACCTTAAATAATGTAACATGATCATGAGAATGATATCTTGTCACTTTAGCTATATACTACAATCTAATAAAGTAAGTGGCATCTCATCACTTTGTTATCTTCTATTGGCTAGAAGCAAATCACAGGTCCCACCCATACTCAAAGGGAGTGGAATATTCAGAGCATAACCACAGGGATGGAGATCATGCTGGCCATATTAAAATTCTGCCTACCACATTTACCATTTTATTTTATATAGAACAGTATTTTGTATATTAAATTTTTGTAATCCCATTATATAATTAATATTAGAAGTTAGTGTTTTAGTTCATTTGGACTGTGTTTTTAGTCCATTCAGAGTGTTTTAAAAAAATATCAGTGACTGGGTAGCTTATAAACAACAGAAATTTGCGGTGCCTGGGTGGCTCGGTTCGTTGAGCATCTGACTCTTGATTTCAGCTCAGGTCATGATCTCAGGGTTGTGGGATCGAGCCCTGTGTGGGGCTCCATGCTCAGCATTGGAGTCTACTTGAAATTCCCTCTCTCCTTCTGCCCCTCCCTTCTCACGTGTGCACACACCTTCTCTCTCCCTCTCTAAATAAATTAATAAATAAAATCTTTAAAAAAATAAAATGAAATTTAAAAACCCCAGAAATTTATTTCTCACAGTTCTGGGGTCTGGAAGTTCAGGATTGGGGTGTCAATATGGTGGGTTGAGGGCCCTCTTCTGGATTGCAGACTTCTTCTTTCTCACATGGCAGAAAAGTCAAGGGCATTCTCTCAGGCCTCTTTTATAAGGACATTAATCTCATTCACAAGGGCTCTGCCCTCATGACCAAATCACTTCTCAAAGGCCCCACATCCTAATACCAACACACTGGGCACTGGATTTCAACATATGAATTTGTGGGGGAGGGGAGGAGAGACACAAAAATTCAGACCACAGTAGGATTCTATGATAAAGAATGGGTGACTTAAATAACATTTATTTCTTACAGTTCTGGAGGCTGGGAAGTCTAAGATCAAAGCACCAGCAGATTTGGTGTCTGGCGAGAGCCAAATTCCTGGTTTATAGAAGGCCATCTTCTTTCTGTGTTTTCACATGGCAGAAAGGGCAAGGGAGATCTCTGGAGCCTCTTTTATAAAGGCATTAAACCATTCATGAGTGTACTACCTTCATGACCTAATCATCTCCCAAAGGTGATTCCAAATGGGGATTAGGTTACAGTATATGAATATTGGGAGGGGGGCCATTCAGTCTGTGCCAGCTAATGTCACTTAAAATTTCTTTTTTGTCTGAATTTAAAGTCAAAATTTTTTGTGTAAGTATAATTTTTTTCTGGAGAAGTTCTATGGATTTAATGAGAATTTTAAAGGAATTTATTTTCCTCTTCCAAACTCTATTCTGAACTATCATTGATCTAGGCTATTTTGCAGAGATCAGTAGGAGCTAAAAAGTGACTTGCTTGGGGTTAGAGAATAAACTGGTAGTGAAATCTGAACTACAAATAAGGTTCTCTGAACCCTACTCAGCATTTGCAGTTAGTGAAAGTATATTTGGTTTTGCTTCCTCAGGCAGCATGGATAATAGAATCAGTTGGTATTATTATCTATCTGTTCAAGTAATTATAATGCTTTTAAAATGTTTTAATAAGTCCTATAAAGCTTTATTTTAGTTTTTAAATGAACTAGTTTTTTGTTGCTGTTGGTTGTGTACCTTTTAGAGGATCATTATTCCAGTAATTATTTGAACATTCTTTTCAAGGATGTAGATTAAATAATCCATTTGGACCCAAAGCTGCCCTTACTTTGTACAGTTGTGTAGGGAGTGGGTTAAGGGAAAAGCAGATGTTGAAATCTAGCCCATGGTTTGCCAACTGTGTACCCTGGCATAGGGCTGCATTTGCCTGAACAAAGGGTCTTTTCTCATCAAAGACATCATACGGACTAGCAGAATTGTACTTAACAAAATCATGCTTAGATAAAATGTTATAAAGTGTTTTGTTATTCTATTAACTTGATTTTCAGATTATTTGTTAGAAAAATAGAGTGTATTTAATTTAGGCAACTATCTGCTAGGTGGGTTAATTGGCAGCTTAATCATATGGATTATATATTATATTATATATAGGACATATTTTTTTGTAAACTAAAATTTTAGAATATAGAAATATTTTACATATTTGACTGTTTTCTGAGTCAAATCACATATACCATATTTTAGTAGGCTTGGCAGTAATTACTATTGTAGTAGTCCTCCCTTATCCAGAGGGATACATTCCAAGACCATCAGGGGATGCCTGAAACTGGATAATTCCAAACCCTGTATATTCTGTGCTTTTTCTTATACATACATAGATACATACATACCTATGCTAGAATTTAATTTATTAATTAGACACAGTAAGAGATTAACAATAATAAAAATAGAATTAATAACAATATACTGCAGTAAAAGTTATATGAATGTGATTTCTCTCAAAATCTCATTGTACAGTATTCCTCCTCCTTCTTGTGATGACATGAGATGATAAAATGTCTACATGATGAGATAAAGTGAGGTGAAATTACGTAGGCATTGTGCCATAGCATTAAGCTACTATTGATCTCTGACTATAGTCAACTGCTTTCAGACTGTGGTTGAGCATAGGTAATTGAAACTGCAGAAAGCAAAACCATGCATAAGGGGAGACTACTGTATTCCATTTTTAGAAGAGGAAACTCAGAGATATTAAATAACTTGACCAGATTTGAAGAGTTATAAGATGTACCCTGGTTGGACTAGATAGCCCAGGATCCTTTCTATTTTTTGGTGGGGCTAAAATGACTAAAAGCGTACTTGCAAATGTGATCTCCCCATTTATTGTTTCTTTTCAAGGATCATCAGTTTTTTTAAAAGATTTTATTTATTTATTTGAACAGAGAGAGACACAGCGAGAGAGGGAACCCAAGCAGGGGGAGTGGGAGAGGGAGAAGCAGGCTTCCCGCTGAGCAGGGAGCCCGATGCGGGACTCGATTCCAGGACCCTGGGATCATGACCTGAGCCAAAGACAGACGCTTAACGACTGAGCCACCCAGGCGCCCCAAGGATCATCAATTTTTAAAGTTTATAGAAACTTCACTTAGTCTTTTCTATGCATAGTGCCAAGAACTCTTTCTGTTAAAAGTACTCACTCTTTAAGTATTAAGGATATTAAATATATAAACAGTAACTATAATTGCATTCTATATGTACTTGAATAAATTGAATAAATTTGTTGCATATATCATAATATAATGTAATATAGAAGGTGCAGACTTGATAAAAATACTGTATTTTTTAATCTAAGGTTTCTAAAGAATTTGTTTATTAAAAAAATTGAGATATAATTTACATTATATTAATTTCAAAGCTGAAATATGTTAGCACATAGTTGATACATAATATCCCTAACTAATTCAACATAATAAATGCAATATAAAAGGGGAATTATGACATAGTAATTGAGAATATGGTGTTAGAAAACAGGAAGGATTTCTATTTAGAAATAATATGTATAAAGACAAAGACCCGAGGGAACAGAGGCTATTCAGAGAAATTCAAGTGCTTGAGTATGATAGGATTTTTGGATTAAGGAGAAGAGTAGTAGGAATCCTAAGAGAGGCCAAGTATGGATGGCATTAATAGTTTGTATTTTGAGTAAGAAATGGGGATTTATTGAAGAATATTAAGAATGATCCATTTGGTATTTTTTGTTAAGATTTCTGTGCCAGCTTTATGAAAGATGAATTTTGGGGTACAGATTGGATTTTGCAGTCAGGAAGAACAATTAGAGGGTTTTTGGAATAATTTAACTCAGTGATAAAGTAGTTAATTATAAGTTATATGAACTTATTAAGATGGAATTGTAAGTAGTACTTCTTGTAATCTAAATTTTAGTGTTGCCAAATGGGAAGATTTAATT